CCATCACCATCCGAGGAAAAAGGCTCTCACTGTCCACCCTATCTAATCCTCTGATCATCTTGTATGTCTCTATCAAGTCACCTCTTAACCTTCTTCTCTCTAACGAAAACAGCCTCAAAACCCTCAGCCTTTCCTCATAAGACCTTCCCTCCATACCAGGCAACATCCTGGTAAATCTCCTCTGCACCCTTTCCAATGCTTCCACATCCTTCCTATAATGCGGTGACCAGAACTGTACGCAATACTCCAAGTGCGGCCGCACCAGAGTTTTGTACAGCTGCAACATGACCTCATGGCTCCGAAACTCAATCCCTCTACCAATAAAACCTAACATACTGTACGCCTTCTTAACAACGCTATCAACCTGGGTGGCAACTTTCAGTGATCTATGCACATGGACACCGACAGCTTTCTGCTCATCCACACTACCAAGAATCTTACCATTAGCCCAGTACTCTGTATTCCTGTTACTCCTTCCAAAGTGAATCACCACACACTTTTCCGCATTAAACTCCATTTGCCACCTCTCAGCCCAGCTCTGTAGCTTATCTATGTCCCTCTGTAACCTGCAACATCCTTCCGCACTATCCACAACTCCACCGACTTTGAACATGATGCACCAGATGTTAAATATTAAATCAGATTAACTCATCAATTAACCACGAAGGAAATAAAGTGTCCTTTAATTTAACGCCATTCACGTTTCATTAATAGTTACACAATCTAATTATTTCAACAGCGAATCTTAAAAGCTGATTATTTGATATTATCCCATCGACCCAGTTGTTCATTTCTTAGTGGTGCAGCGTTCCTAGGTATCCCACCAGAGGACGCTGCAGTTCCACTCACTTAAACGCTATATCTTTCTCTTCTTGCAGACTCTTTGTGTCATCCTCAACACTTGCCTTCACATTTATTTCTGCCTCATCTGTAAATTTGGAAATGTATATTCTGTTCCGTCAGGATTTCTGTGATTGTGTATCTCTGTTATCTCGCCATTGCCATTCAGAATTGGAGAGAAACCGTACTATGATATATTTTCTATAATTCTTATTTATAGTTTTTGGGCGCTGCCAACAATTCTGGCATGTGTTTCTAATATTCTTTGAAAATGCGGCAATGAACCGTCTTCTTCGGGTGCTGTAACGTATCCGGTATAGATGCCATAGTTACATTTGTTATGCCACAAAGTAAAATTAAAGAAATTTCGGTTGCTATGGATCTTTTCTGAAAATGCAGCAAATGCAACATTACCCTCTACCGTTTAAGTAATTGAAAATGTATTTGTTTATTGATCTATTCACTGTGTCCAAATCCCTCAGACCTACTGAACCTCTGCATGGGCTGAAGGGAGGTCTCAAAGTCAAAGAGGAGCTCTGCTAACTGGGGAAATCCAGTTCTGATACTCGGACATCACGATCTGTGTTTCTTCTCTGACTTTGTCTACAGACAAATAAAACTGATAAACGTTAACATTGGTGTCATCTCTTCCAAGACCCCTTGTCTTTTGAATAAATTCATTATGTTCCTTTCCCCCGCCGCCATATGAATTGGAGTTCAATGGAGCTTGAAGAGAAGAACAAAGGAGCTCGAAACTCATTGGCTGTCACCTAATGTCTTTGTCAACAATGAACCAATAGGCAGAGATACAGAAATTGCTCAACCGCTTGCCAATTCTTGACTGAAATTACTTCAGCTTCGACCAGTTCAGCTCTTAACACTGTGATCACTCTGCAACAAAGTCGCCCCGAGACTGCGATTATTCCTCAGAACAGTTGTTCTAACTGTTAGTTTTGTAACTTGAGAAACTCTCCTGTTTCAGAGCATCAGCAGCAAATACAATTACTCGAGCAGCTCCATCAACACAGAGGCAGCAATACATTCTCTGCAAACAACAATTATCATCCGGAGCCAAACTTGACCCAACACCCAGCATTGTTTGGGGTTTGGTGAGGTTGCTTAACAAACTTCCCGGCGTGAATGATAGTAAAACAGCGAGGCTGGGAATTCAAAGTAGGAATGATGCCACTGAGATACATTGATAGAGGCGAGAGTTTTAAACTCATAGGCCGTTTGTAGTTTTCCCTTCAAGTTCCGGAGAAGAAATAGAAAATGACTTCGTTAGAAGGTGTGACCTGTTTATTAAAGGACGTTTTATTTAATCTGTCTTATTTCTCAGGTTATTGTTCAAGGTGACAGCAAAACTGAGGCCGATAATAATAATGAAGTGTTTTCTGTAATTTTCTGATTATCCTGGCTCTTACAAGACTTTGTCGAGGAGATTCAGTTCCACAGGTACCGACTTCAACCACAGTGAGTAAGGGGATAATGTCTAGTTATCCTGTAATTACACAGCTAAACAAAACTGCATTCCTAACTTATTCTGTTACCGTTAATATTCGTGTGGCTCCATGGAGTTTCTGCAACGGAGAAACCAATTAATCGAGAACACAGAGAGATTTCAAGGAGACCGGTTATCCTCTGAGCTTGATCATGTGAACCGGACAATCAAGCTGCAAGTGTTGAAAACAAAACTGACAGGTTCCGCGGTGTATTTGCGCACTGACCCTCACGGAGATTCTAACAAAAACTTTCAGAGCGTGACTGAACACGACAATGTATTAGGCAAACAGTGAGATCAGGGGTAGAGCTGAAATGGTTCCCAAAATCACAGTGATATTCAATACTTTTCACTTGAATAAATAGCTTTATTTGTTACCAATATATAATTGAAATAAACTAAAGCTGTCAGTTTAGTGAATGGAAAGCAAATAATTTATTCTGTGACATTTGAGATGTCTCAAAGTTACAGCGAAGAGTTGGTATAGAAGATGTAGCAACCAGTTACGTTGAACAAAATCTTCAGCAGTCGGTGAGAGAAACAATAATCTGCCGCGTGATTCAAATAACGAACACTAGAGTAACCTGAATAACGTCAAACATTTTGCGGGTTATTGAGTGCTGCCCCTGCAGATACATGGCAACAGTTCTACAATGACGAGTAATAGATTTACTGGTCCAGGATAATGCAGACTTGCTTTAAAGTATCAACCAGAAAGTTGAATGTAACTCAGATCTGAAGAACACTAACCAAATGAACACAATCAGTAGAGGTGGATTAATGAGTCAAAGTCACCAACGAAAGTCTCAGTCACACGTCATTTCTCCTTGTTGGCTCGTCTGGAAATGAACATTCTTCACCTGCGACGAAAACTGATTGATTTTTTGCCAAAGGTTCACATCTCGGTGTATGTTGCATAAAGATCAGTGGATTCCTTGCCTCCCTCTGATGACTTTTGAGGGAGATGAAATCTTATCGTGAACCCAAATTGCCTTAGAGAAGGCGAAGGCGATCTGCATCCTGAACCATTAAACCCCTTCGAATGAAGGCACAATCACAGTGTTGTAAGCAAGGGCCTATCAGGATTTTGACCCAGTGGCACTGAAGGAATACATACTTGTTCAAATTCAGGATCATGACTTAATTAGATGGAAAGTTACAGTTGAAATTATAAGCCCGACGCTCAGGATTTCCACTGAATTATTCCTGGATTAATATCTCCTTTAGAATTCTATTAGTCTAACCATTGAGACACTGCTAATAGTGGCTCCAACGAAGTTTTCTTTGTCAGTCAGTGAACTGATGAACTGACGCCGATATCCCGTTTTTCCGGGGAGATCCGTAATCCCTCATTTTATAACAATGAAATCTGTCGGTAGTGAACAAACAATTATAGAAAATCAACTCTTCCTGTAATTGTAACCAAATTTCGAGGACAGATTGAACAGGGTTTGCATCTATAATATTGTTCCGTTCGATTTGTTGGGTTCTGTCCACCTTTCTGCCTGAGAGAAGTGCATTTAACGATGACTAATGTTCAGATTTTGGATTTGCAGTGAGAGAGAACAGAGAGTGTGATATTGACATCTTTCCTCCGTTTCCCGTTAATTTGCTCACTGTCCCCAGGAATGAAGAATCGGGAGAGAATTCAAACATCACAGGATAAGGTGTGGACATTGCCCATTTACAGGAATTCAACTTCAACAGCCCAGTCGTCCTGGTGTGACCTAATCTGGTCTTTGCTTAGCAGCAGCAGAACTTTCTCTCTTTCCTGCAGCAGATTCTGTGATAGGATCTACAGCAAGGAGCATGAGATTATAAATGTCCACTTACATAAATTAGGATGGGTTATATCAGGTTAAGCATCTTTAAATAAAAAAAAACCATGGTAACGTCAATTTCCAAAGTGAATATATTTATTACAAGATTTTATTTAAGATTTGGCATTGGAACTTTTGGTGATGTTGGCTGGGGGACGTTGTGCACAGACAGTGCAAAAATTTCAGACCCTCTTCCATGATTCCGTTTCTTAACTCACAATTTTCAAAAGTGGAAATTGGGCAATGATTTGAAAGGGAATGACCCGTGGCTACATCAACACTAATGCGAGGATAGTTAGAGCGGGCGAAATTAATTATTGACCATCGGGATGTCGGTGAACTGTTCCCTGCAGGCACCGGTTTATTCCGCAAGGTGGCACCATTAATATTAAACGAAAGCCGAAACATCTGCGGATGCTGCAAATCCGGAACAAAAACAGAAGTTGTTGGAAAAGCTCAGCGGATCTGGCAGCATCTGTGAAGAAAAAAAAGAGTTAAAGTTTCGGGTCCGGTGACCCGTTCTGACAGTGAGTGAATATCAGGACATCAGCTTTTACAGAATCAATTTTCACACATGCATCGCAGCAATGTGGGGAACACTGACGTTGACCGCGTCTTCCATGAATACTTGCAATAAAAAGTGTCAACATATTGCACAAAAACGAAACGTTCTGAAGAAGAGCCCTATCGGACCCAAAAAACTTGACTCTGATTGTACCGCCACTGATACTGACAGTTTTACGTATGCTTCAAAGCAGCTGCTTCAGCTTTCACTTCAATATTTCCGAAAGACTCCTATTTTAGTATTAACTTCACTACGGCTGTTAGCACAAAAACAGTCTCCACAGAAACCATCAAAAATTGTTATGATTGACTTCATTGCAAGTCACCACAGCCAGGTAATGGCTAAAATTTTCAATAAGCAATAATCGCGCTTCAGTTAAACCTCATAAGGTACAATCCTGCCACTGCGCAAACCTGTAAGAGCTTAGCCCAAGGAAAGCAGGTTTATCGGCCTCATACCGTTCACACTTACGGTGGGGGAGCCATCGATTCCAAAGCATGTTGCTTGATTATCTGGAGTGGAGTTGATCAATAATCAATTATTTGCTGAAATTCAGCGGGGAAATTAAAATATTATTTCTCAGCCATAATGCTGAAATGTACCTGTTGGATTCTGGGATGTGGATGTATGCTAATATTAGTGGTACAAAAACAAAGTTGCTCTAAATGCTCCGCAATTATGACAGCAACTGCGAAGTAAAAATCAGAGTTAACGTTTCGGATCCGGTGACCTTTCCTTAGAACTGATGGTGGCTGGGAAAACGTCAGTTTATATGCAGAAAAAAGGGAGGGGGTGGTGTAGGGAGTAAACGATAGGATATAGCCTAAAAAGAGAGAAGAGCAGTTGGACAGACAAAGAGTTGATAACGATCAGGCTGGGAGGGTGAATGGTTGTTAATGGAAACTATTAGTGACTAACTAACTTGTGGTGTGTAATGGCAGGCTGTGTGATAACAGGGCCTGGTGTGTGGCGTAAGGGGCTGGGACATGGGAGAGTTCAGGCCCTAAAATTATTGAACTCAATATTGAGTCCCCAAGTGTAAAATGAGAGGTTGTTCTTCCAGCTTGCGCTGAGCTTCACTGGAACACTGCAGCAAGCCAGAGACATATGTTGGCCAGGGAACAGGGTTGTGCGTTTAAGTGGCGGGCAACTGGTAGTTCAGTGTCTTTTTTGTGAGCAAAACATCGATGTTCTGTGAAGCGGTCACCAAGTCTACGCTTCATTTCCTCAATGTAGAGGAGACCACATTGTGAGCAGCGAATGCAGTAGACTAGCTTCTGGGATGTGCAGGTGAAGTGTTGCTTCACCTGGAAGGTATGCTTGGGCCCTTGGACACTGGGGAGGGAGGAGGTAAATAGGCAGGTGTTGCACAATCGCCGGTTGGAGGGGATGGTGTCGTCAGGCTGTTGGGGGGTGAGGGAAGTATGGACCAGGGTTTCCCGGAGGGAGCAGGCCCTGCGGAATGTGACAAGGGAGGAGAGGGAGATATGTGTCTGGTGGTGGCATCTCGCTGGAGGTGCCGGAAATGGCGTCTGATGATCTTCTGGATGTGGATGCTGGGGGTATGGTAGGTAAGGACAAGGGAGATGTTGTTGAGGGTGAGGACGAACTTGGCCAAGCAGAGGATGGTGGTGGTGTGTGGGGATGGTTCAGGTCTTTTCTCCAGGAAGAAGCAGAAAGCCCTAAGACCCTCCTGGTGGGGAATAGACGTGTAAAGGGATTGCACGCCCATGGTAAAGAGGAGGCAACTGGAACTTGCAAACTGGAAGTTTTGAAACCGATGTAAGGCGTCAGAGAAATCATGGATATACATGGGCATGGATTGGACCAGGGGAGAAAAGAATGAGTCAAGGTCGGAAGAGATGAGTTCCGTGGGGCAGGCTGAAACAATGGGTCTGCCCGGACAGTCCTGTTGTGGATTTTTGGGAGGAGGTTGAAGGGAGCTGTGCGGGGCTGGGGGTCTACCAGCTTGGAAGCAGAGGGGAAGAGATTACCAGGTGAAATTAGATAACTTACCGCAGTAGATACAATGGCCTGATGCGTCATGGTGGGGTCATGGCCCAGGGGAAGATAGGAGGAGGTATCTGAGAGCTGGCGCTCAGACTCTGCAAGGTAGAGATCAGTACGCCAGACTACAACAGCACCACCCTTATCGGCAGGCATAATAACAAAGTCAGGATAAGCAGACCCACGGCATCTTCCCCTGAAGAACAACACCTCTTTTTCCACTTGGGGACTCTGCAGCCCTCCGGATTCAATATTGAGTTCAATAATTTTAGGAACTAAACTCTCCCATGTCCCAGCCCCTTACGCCACACACCAGGCCCTGTTATCACATAGCCTGCCACTACACACCACCTGTTTGTTAGTCACTAATAGTCCGCATTAACAACTATTCACCCTCCCAACCTGATCGTTATCAACTCTTTGTCTGTCCAACTGTTCTTCTCTCTCTTTAAGATCTATCCCATCGTTTACTCCCTACACCAGCCCTCCCTTTTTTTCTGCATATTAACTGACGTTTTCCCAGCCACCATCAGTTCAAGGAAAGGTCACCGGATCCGAAACGTTAACTCTGATTTTTACTTCACAGTTGCTGTCATAATTGCGGAGCATTTAGAGCAACTTTGTTTTTGTACCACTAATATTAGCATATATTCACATCCCAGAATCCAACAGGTACATTTCAGCATTATGGCTGAGAAATAATATTTTAATTTCCCCGCTGAATTTCAGCAAATAGTTGATTATTGATCAACTCCACTCCAGATAATCAAGCAACATGCTTTGGAATCGATGAATGGTTCCCCCACCGTAAGTGTGAACGGTATGAGGCCGATAAACCTGCTTTCCTTGGGGTAAACTCTTATCGCCTTGTGCTGCGGTAGGATTGTACCTTATGAGGTTTAACTGAAGCGCGATTATTGCTTATTGAAAACTTTACTCAATACCCCGCTGTGGTGAGTTGAAAAGTCAATCATAGCAAATTTTGATGGTTTCTGCGGAGACTGTTTCGGTATCAACAGAAGTAGTGAAGTTGGATCAGGAAATGTTAGTAGTAACGTCGGAGTCGTTGAGAAATGTTAAAGTGATAACTGAGCAGATATGTAAGTATCTGTTGTTATAGAGACGAAGTCAACATTTTGGGTCCGATAGGTCTCTTCTTCAGAACATTTCGTTTTTGTGCAATATGTTGACACTTTTTATTGCAAGTATTCATGGAAGACGCGGCCAACATCAGTGTTCCCCACATTGCTGCGATTTATGTCTGAAAATTGATTCTGTAAAAGCTAATCTCCTCATAACTACTGACTGGTCACCGGATCCGAAAAGTTATTTTTCTTCACAGATGCTGCCAGACCTTCTGAGCTTTTCCAATAACCTCTGTTTCTGTTTCTGATTTACAGCTCCGCCGTTGTTTCGGTTTTTATCCAATCTTTAACTTCCCTCTCTGTGGCCAATCTTTCCCTCTCTGTGTCCAGCATTTCCTTATTCCCCGCGGAGTTAATCCACAACAAAAGTCTCCACAAGGAAATTAATAAACCCTCTCAGAAAATGTGTTTTTAAACTATTGTGTTTTATCACCATATCCCTCATAGTTAATGATGGCCCACACCCAGCCATGTTAGTGTCATACCCGGATGTGGAAATTATACTTCCGTGAACCATAACCAAATTATTTCTGTCAATGATGAACATCAGTAACTTCAGTCCCGATGGAATATCACTCACACTGTCCCCCAGTCTCAGTGATTTCATGTGACCACTTTCCCACCGCCCCCCGCCCCAACCTCCCCGCTGCTTCCCGTTTATTTGTCTGGAAAAGAACCGTGGCGGAACTGGGAGATTGCACGGTAGTTGTTGTAACCTGGATACGAGGAACCTCAAAACGTGGCGAAAGCAGTTTCAGTGATAGTGACTTTATAAAAACAACCATCTAAAATTTTGAGAAAATGGAAGACAGGAATGCAATCATTTCGTATCTATCACGTTAGAGGGAAGGGAATATCTACGACAGAGACGAGGAAAGCGAGGTAATATGAAGGAAACACAACAGAAAGCCGGTCGCCAGCTTTGTGAATCTTTAGTCTTAAGGAACCGGAATCAGAGAAGAGTGAAGTTTGAACTGTCCGCCTGAGCAGCGACATTCAAGGCGCATTCCCCTCCTATAAGAGGCTGGGAAATTGATGTTCCCGGTGAATGAATTGATCTGCGACATTGAAAGGATTCTCGTCCCTGAACATCAGGATTTCAAACCCCATCCCGGGGAATGAATCTTGCCGACTGCAGTAGAGGGCAGATAGTAAGGGGATCTGCTTCCCCTCTTCGTATTTGTGAGGCGAATCACATGAAGTGGGGAGGAAACTATTTCACCCAGAACGCAAATGGTGGGAACTTTCTGACTCACTGATGGTTAGGGTGGAACAGGCAGAAACCCTCGCAACTGTGAAGAAACATTTAGTTAAGCACTTGTGATGTCAACGTATTTAAGGCTTTGAGTCTGGCGTTGGGAAATGAGGTTCGAACAGTCGTGGGCTCGTGTTTGACCGGCAGAGACTTAATGGGCCGAAGTGCCCTTTCCAGGACTGTATTCCTCTCTGATCAGGTGCGGACTTTTTTAAAGTTAAAGGACAGTGTTTGTAAAATGCAACCGAGCCAGGAAAAAGTCCAATCGATACTTCCCTGATCTATCAGACACATTATCTATTGGGACATCGTGACTGAGGATAATTGGCATTGTGCACCGTCCTGGAGTCGGTATGTGGGAGAATTGGGAAGATGAAATCCCGGTGTCTGTTTACCCGGCCGTGTGCAAACCCATCGCTTCTCGTGTCTTACATTTCTTGGCCCTGCCGTCCAAGTAAAAATTGTCTTCACTATTTGCCTGCGTTTGTATCAATCAGCTCATTAAGCTAGGAGTTGGACGGTCAGAGGGAGCAGGAGTTAAGACAGGGACAGAGGCAGAAAGAGATGCGATATGAAAGTGTTTAGAATTTGCCGTATGTCAGTGTTTTTACTGAGATATGTGTGCCAGGTAAAATCTTGTCAGATTGTCAGGAGCCGCAGTGATTGAGTCAGTAGGTTTTGGAAATTGAAAGGTGCACCTGAGCAACTTGTGGGACTATTTCACCTCACTGTCCATTTTATGTCCGAGCTCCCAACAACGGTTCTGAGTTTTTGGAGAAGTCGCTCGTGTTCCACCTAAAGCTACCTTTCGTCGGAGAAACTTGTGTCTGTGAACGGGGAGCTGAAGTGAAGTACCTGAAACGGGTATAATCCTGAGGCCTGTGTCACCCTCGGGAGATGTCTCTGTGTGTCTCCCTCTGTGGATGAAAATGAGCATCAGTTCCCCATGGGGATGTGAACACTGTTTGACGATTTTGATATTCTGTCCCATTTTGTCATTATCGTGGGATGATCCCATTGTCACGAGCATTTGAAACATCACAACACACAAGGCTGGAAACTGGGACCAGAATAGATGGATGTTGATGACCCACACTGACACGATAGGCAGAAGGGTCCATCTCCACACTGTAAAAACTTGATGACAGGGAGAAACTGATCTGCAGTCAAAATTATCCCAAACGATTCGGCGCTCTCACCACGGCGACCCACATTCGACGCCAAATTAGGGGAAACTGAGCTGATCGATTCTGGTAATATATCGTGAGGGCAGTATTTCTGACTGACTTTCAGAAGCAGAAAATAAGCTGTGGAGCTGGCAGACATTATATTTTGTCCCCAAACTTTATTCAGTTTAGCATAAAACAAAGAATTGCGGGTGATGGAAATCAGAAACAACAACATGAATTGATGAAGAAACTAAATAGGCCTGGCAGCATTTGTGCAGAGAAGCAGAGTTAACGTTTCAGGGCCAGTGACTGTTTATCGGAACTGGGTTAGTTATGCATTTCTATATTATAATGCTGGGGGAAATTATCGATTTATCTGTCGAATCAGTGAATATTTATCAAAATCTCTCTCTCTTATTGGGTTCCAGCCATCACATGTTAGAATTCATAAAATGGGAAGAAACAGCATTCCTGAATGCGGGCAATGCCAGGTAACAGGAGTGGGAGCACCAAATCCTAACATGCTTAAGTCAAACACAGGAAACATGCTCAGTTGTCTCCTTCAACAGCACCAGGTTGGATCAACAACATGGCGTATGAGAAAACTTTAAAGGAGGAATCCGCAATGTAAGACAGAGGCGCCATTGGATATTCTGTCTACATCATGCTTTTCCCCCATCCATATATTCAATTTAAAACCATTGGTTCACAGCAACTGTGGTTGTTTTTCTGTTTCAATGTTGCTATGTGAGAATTCTCGCTTTTGAAAAAAAAAAGGACAGTGCAGTCTCCACTGAAAACGCATAGGAAGAAACAATCTCCTCTTACCTTGGTTTAAAACTGATGTTTTCACTTCCTAAACTAATTGTATAATGGGAATGGGTTCATCCTCTCGAGACCTATTAACCACGTTAATACACACAGACGGAGCCTTACAAGAGGAAAAGGGTATTGTGGTGAATTGAACAGGAGTGATGTGTGAGCCAATGTAAACTGTGGGCAGTAAAGTCCGATCCATTAGCGCCAACACTGCGCCTTGCACCAGCAGCTCCACACTCACTTTCTGCCAATGCCTCCCAGTCATCATTGTCTTTCACTTTAATTCACTCCCCGCTCCGCTTCTGAACTTGTTCCCAACCAATTGCAGGTGCCCAGTCAGAAACCGCAACGTTTAAAAACAGGCTGCTGGGATATGGACGTCACTCACTGGGATAGGATTCACTGCCAATCCCTAATTACTGCAGGGGTGGAGGTGATGAGTCACTTTCTTGAACCCTTGATCTCCTTGGCACGCCTGTTCTGCCATGATGCCGTTAGTGACGGAGTTCCAGGAATTAGACACAGTGACACTGAAGGAACGGCGATATATTTCCGACTCAGAATGATGAGTTGCTCTGAGGGGGATTTGTGGCGATAGTTTTCCTGTGTATTTGCTGCCCTTGCCCTTCTAGATGGAATGATTCTGGGAGATTCAGGGTGTGTGTTGTGTGCGCAACCAGGAATTCGTTTTCATTCAGATAATTGACAAGAAGAGAAATAAATCTTCATTTCCTGACTGGGAATTATATCTAGGCTGGGGTCATGCAAACTCTAAATCCTAACCAGGGAACACCAGTGAGGTATGAAAATCTGATGTTGTTCAGTAGATGTACTGCAGTAAGGTACAAAACAGGCTGTCGTGAATAGGGGCTGGTTTTGAGGCGCTGAGCTGCAGTGAAGGGGCGGTACCAATAAAGGTGTCGTTCAACTGGTCTGATTCCAGATCCCCAGCTAGCAATGACCAGAGGTTTGTCACTGAACGTGTTCAGGGTTTTGACTCAAAGAAACTGTGGCTCATAGTATGAAAGTACATTTCACTGGAGTGGGTCATAAAACAGCGCAGTGACTGTGAATAAAACAATGGAAAGTTCCAGTACAGAAAGAGGTGACAATGAAGCAGCGACCCGAAAACCAATGTTTTTCCTTTGCCTGTGAAATTCACCACTTTGCAGAGTGGGGACCATTGAAGTGAAGCAGTGACGGCGGTTATATTTGCTGCTTGTTCACTTTGTGAATCCCATTTCCGCCTATTAATGTCGCAACTCGACAAGCTGTGACATTTGGAAACGCGCCTGAATTGTAGGTTCGAATCCTACCTGGCTTGCGTGCACCTGACTGCTTTTCCACCCTTGGTGGAAAAATTGACAGTCGTGTTTAGTGAGGAAGGTCTGCCAGTCACCGTCTTGTCAGAGTCCCAGGATTGGGACAGCGGGTTTTAGAAATCGAAAGCTGCACATGAGCAGCTTGTAGAGTTCTTAGAATCCGTACAGTGTGGAAACAGGCCCTTCAGCCCAACAAGTCCACACCGACCCTCAGAGCATCCCCCCAAACCCATTCCCCTATAACCCAGCTAATCTACACATCCTTGAACACAATGGGCAAAATCGCATGGC